AATATAATAATTATATCCGGTGGGTTTTTTGTCCCAGTAGAGATCTGCGTACATTCGTTGTATTTCACATCGTGTGTTCGATTATTCTTCCTAGGTCTTCCACAGATGGTACCGTTGATTTGGATTCCGATTTTTAATTTCGATTTTATGTTGCTGGAATTCAATTTGTTTGGCTAACGTGGGAATCTTCCGTTGAGAATTGTTTTATGAACTAATGTCTAAAGGAGATCGCCTGCTTTTAGGTTTACTAAAATAAAACTCGCAGTTGCCTTTTCCTGCTCTATTTTCATTCCATCCAAAAGAATGAGGCTCAAACTACCCTTCGGCATCCTAAATCATCCTAAATCTGTGATTGCTTTATCGCGCTGTTTTGTTTCAAGGTGACGAACGAAAAACTCGTCTTGTAAGGCAGTCATAGATACACGAGCCCCCCATGTTAAGTGTTGTCGTTAAGTCGGACCAATCAGTATAAAAAATCGCAACACGCGTGGACGGGAAATCAATATTTCTAATAATGTAACCTCAGTGCTCGTTTTTCGCACAGCGTTAAATCCGGCCTAATTCTCAGCCGTATGATACACGAGTTTTCCCCATGTCGTTCACGTGCTTTTGTTGGACACTGTTCACAGCAAATTGCCTGCAGATATCGGCTTATTCTTTTATTGTTTCGGAAACATTTATCAGATTTTTTTTCAGATTTTTTTCACATTTTTCAGATGCATTTTTCAGATGAAACTACTAGAAAAAATTTCAACTCCCAAAACCCCCTCGCTATACAACATGCCACATTACGGTTCACGCTTATTGTTTCGCAAATGGTTCAGATATTGCTTAGTGAAATGCAAGGTCCTGGAAATCATTCCTTGCTTGACAGTCTTCGCAGCAAAGGGCCGGTAGATACTGGCTCATTTTCCTGTTGTTTCAGGAAGAAGGTATGTATTTTGTGTTTAGTGAAATTCAAGATCCTGGAAATCATTCCTTGCTAGACAGTCTTCACAGCAAAGTGCCTGTAATTACTGGCTTATTTTTCTGTTGTTTCAGGAAGAAGGTATGTATTTTTAGACTAAACCAATAGAAGCGAGATCAACTGCTAAAAACAGTTCGCCATACAACTTGTCACGTTTCAGTTGACCCTTAATGTTTACGCAAACACTCATATAGTGAATGGCTTAGATATTGGTTAGTGAAAGGCAAGGTCCTGGAGATTATTCTTCTACTTAAACTGGTGTTCTCTGACAAGTCGTGGGTATATAACCAATTATAAGCCGAAAGTCGAACGACTTCGCATGTGATGAATGCAGTCAATGAACCAATAAGCATGTTTACAAAAATAATTCATACCTTTCGGTAGAAGAACTGTTTTATTCATGTTAGCTGGAAATGAAAAATTGGCTTTTTTAGTCTTCGCAAATGTAAGCGAAAGGTTTGAAATAAATATATGCGATGGTTTGATTTACGGGACAGTGATTGGGGAGTTTTCCCTCCGTTGTGTTTTGGTATAGGTACTTTCCAGTTTGACACTAATTGGATTCTCAATCCGCTTTTCATGGGGATTAAAATGGATTTCCCGTTTTGATGTCCATTGAAAATATATGCTGGACAAATGCGCTCCCATTTTTCCGCTGGTACGACATTCGAGATATCGCAGTATATGTTTCACAAAACTGCTGAAAAATCTGCCAAAACCTAGCCATTTTGTGTTCAAATAGGACATATGGTCGACAGACAGTGAGTAAACGTGCCTATTTGACGGGACCCAAGAAAGGCAAAAACAATCCTAGGATGTTGGTGAGTTTAAGAAACTGTGTGACTATCTTGCTTTGTGGAGAATATTTTTTTAATAAGCTTTTACTGCTGATTCCTTGGAATACACATAGATTAGTGCTGGGAATTTTTTACTATTCCGATTTGATGCCGTTGAGACTTTGTCTTCAACATTCGCATTCTTTCGAATTATCAAGCAGACTATTGCACGTATGGATGTGTGAGTTAGCTTATTTCCATTCGTATAAATGGCAGGCTATGCAACTTGACGTATTTACCGGCAGCAAGCAGTCCCTAAGAAGGACATGACGTCTTCGGCCGTTTGACGATTTTTTAATAAAATATTTACAAGAATGTGTGATTTAGCTTATTTCCATTCGTATAAATGGTAGGCTATGCAACTTGACGTATCTGCCGGCAGCAAGTAGTCCCTAAGAAAGACTTGTCGTCTTCGGCTGTTTGACGATTTTTTAACAAAATATTTACTACCATTCAAATTTACATGATAAGCGCAGTTTTTTATCTGCGGATGGATAAGACAATGAACAACCTAGTAGAATTTCTTTGTGTGATCATGTGACAGAATCTTGTGCGTAGTACGAGCCTACGGCAAGCAATATTAGACACCGTTTAAAATCTCCCAGTGCAGTCTTAACTAAGTCACCTTTTTACACGGCAGAGTATCCTTTCCGAAAATCCTAAAAGCGGGATCAAATCTCCCCATAAAGAACAATCAGATATAACAGACAACGCCCAGTGCTGGATAACTATTTCCATAGAAATCACAATCGGTTTGTGGTTCAAATTAGTGTTATTTGTTGCCCGAAGTTTGAAAGGAACAACAAAACAGCTACCGTCAATCAGGAGAATATTTTTTTAATAAGCTTTTACTGCTGATTCCTTGGAATACACATAGATTAGTGCTGGGAATTTTTTACTATTCCGATTTGATGCCGTTGAGACTTTGTCTTCAACATTCGCATTCTTTCGAATTATCAAGCAGACTATTGCACGTATGGATGTGTGAGTTAGCTTATTTCCATTCGTATAAATGGCAGGCTATGCAACTTGACGTATTTACCGGCAGCAAGCAGTCCCTAAGAAGGACATGACGTCTTCGGCCGTTTGACGATTTTTTAATAAAATATTTACCACCATTCAGCTTTACATGATAAGCGCAGTTTTTTATGTGCGGATGGACAAGGCAATGAACAACCTAATAGAATTTCTTTGCGTGATCACGTGACAGAATCTTGTGCATAGTACGAGCTTACGGCAAGCAATATTAGACACTGTTTAAAATCTCCCATTGCAGTCTTAAATAAATCACCTTTTAACACGGTGGACTATCCTTTCCAAAAATACTAAAAGGGTAGTCAAATCTCCCCATAAAGAACAATCAGATATAACAGACAACGCCCAGTGCTGGATAACTATTTCCATAGAAATCACAATCGGTTTGTGGTTCAAATTAGTGTTATTTGTTGCCCGAAGTTTGAAAGGAACAACAAAACAGCTACCGTCAATCAGCCTTACTTTCTAATTCCATTAACGCAACTTTTATTTCCTCTGTGCAAGTGGGATGAAACAAAAAATCATACATTTGACAGATGTAGGTTGCGCAATGAGAATACACAATTTCGAAGCACGATTAATGACAATACTATGAGTGTATGTATGTATTGAAGTAGACTGACTTAAAGTTGAATTATCTTCCAAGCGTGACGCTATTGCATGAATTCCTCCTGTTAAACTCATTTTAGCAACCCCTTGGAAGCTTATTGTGAAAGCCTATTTCATTGTAGACATTAACCAACGTCTTTCGTTAAAAGTTATCGGTGGAGATGAATTAGCGCCGTGCCCTGTATGAGAATCTGCCGTTGTGTATATTTTCGGCTTAAATATAAAATATCTTGCTACCATCCGCAAGCACCCCCAAAATTATGCTAAAGCTATAGTGTTCCATTACCGTGTAGCATAAAATATCGTCTGATGCAGATGGTGGTATAGCTCAGTTTATCAGATAATTAGGGTGGACAATGGCTTTGCAATTGAAATGCACCTCACCTACCTAAATAATTACCACACAATACCCGTGAACAATGACCCTCAGTTTCTTTGCTTAGGGCTATCACACGGTGTATACATCATTGTAAGTTATGTGCGAGTTAACGCAATCTGCAAAAAGTAAAAATGCTTTATTCGGACCATTAGGTTCTTTGAACTGTTGGTCCATTAGTAGGTGAGTTCTGAGCACGGATAGTATCCGTTACATGACACTGTGCAGTCATACTTTTATAACCAGATAAGGAACGTGTTACCAGGGTTAAGAAGTAGACAACGATAGTATCACTGTCAATCTTCATTACACGTAAATCCTAAAAGACGCTGAGAGGTAAATAACATGATGCACGTGGATACATCTTGAGTCGATACACCCACAGATCTATCTGCATGCAATGCGCATGCTCACACTCTCAAACACACTCAGCTAAGAAATTATTCCGTGTTCACCCGCAGCCCATGGTCATGGCAATAAAAACTCTGTGCCCAATGAGTTTTGTTGCAGCGGTTTTCGTTGTCTGGTTCCTTGATGCAGATCAGCACTTTGTTAATGGGCGCATCACCTCATCTCTATGACTTCGTTTACAGATAAAATCAGTGGACCAGCTGGATGGGGTTTCTGTATAGTCCACTGAAGGCTTTCACTGTCGTGATATTATGCTGACTATGCATCTGTCCTCCACATGAGACATGGTTGACTTCCTGTTTGTATACATATAAGTATTCTGGCATAATTTATATGCGTAAGACTGCCGTACTAGACTGTTCTGCAGACTGCTTTTCTAGTGGGTGAATTTTCTAAAGAACTTCGACCTCACCGTGCCATCCATCAGCGTGGTGTAAGTAAACGCTATGGGTGTCATTAGGAACCAACCAAGTATTGAAGTTTCAGGTGGCGACAAATAATTATTTATAACATTATTATTATAAATGCAGAATGAAACCAAATAATCATCATCGCTTATTTATTTACATAATATGATATTTTTATGATAATATAAGTGAAACACACTGCTTGCTTCGTTTATTGTTTTTTCCATGTTTACTGTGCATGTTGCACCGAAGTAAGTTCAATAATTACTGAACGTGGGTAGCATGCATACCGTTATGTGTCCATCAAAAGAAATCAATGTAAAATTAGAACAATGCCTTTCGTAGGTCGTAATATTCAAAAAGAAATAAATAAGAAGCATGAAAATACATAGTGGACCACAAAGCAAGACAATATCTTGATAAGTGCTTTGCTTTGCCAAAAAGAAAAATTCATCCAAAACTGCACTGTTAATTCATGAGCATCTGTTTCCAGTACTAGAAAAATACTTTAAAAATGTATTGTATTTTCGTAAGGAAATTCACTCCCATGTTAGCAAAAAGCTCTTCAGCAGGAGATTAAGCTTATCAGTCAGAAGATCTTCACCAGTTGCTTTCATCATTACGCTTTTTCCAACCTGGATTGAACATTTTTTGAGAAATACACTTATTTGCATCTAAATTTGTTTTCTATGAGAATTCATTTCAATGGTATTCTGCGGCTGAATGTGGTGCACAAGGTTTCTCTCGCATTTTAATTGCTACGATATTCGTGATATCGCGGAGAATTTTGCAATATCTCGAACGTCTTTCCAAGTGCATCATGGGGTGGCCTTTGTTGGCACATTTAGATGAAGTGTGTTACAAACGGGAGCCTCAGTTTTTTCTCCTGTGGAGGCCAGATTTATATACAGAAAGATACGTTTTTATCCAATATGTGGTGTTCCACTAAATGAACTTTGGTAATTGAACATTATTGTTGTAGATCAACAGAGCTGTGCCAAAACGTTTCAGAGAAGTTTGCCAAATGGAATGGCAGTGCATACCTTTGAAATCCGTTACTTCTTCCCCAATTATAACTGCAGAAATTGAGGATAATAGTTAATCATCGATCCGAGTCAAATAAAAATTTTACAATCATTGGCAAAAAGGACAGAACTAACGGCTTAAGTTTTGCAGCAAAAAAATAATCTGCTTTAGCACAAAACTAACGGCTTAAGTTTTGCAGCGAAAAAATAATAATTTGCTTTAGCAGGTCACTGTGGTGTAGAGAAAATATTTTACATTTTAAACTCATTTTGGATTTGCTAACACGTACCAATTTATAAACAGTATCGGAATTCCTGATTTACACTAGAAAAATACGCGATACGTTGAAGTTCTAAGCTGGATAGAATGTTTCCTTACATCGATGCCGCCAAGAGTGCTTAGGTTATGGGAACATCGATCACGTTTGCAGAACCTCATTAAATCGTGAGGGGCTTCCGTAGAGCTAGATTGACACTGAACGTTTTAATTTTGAGCGCAAAAATTAAACATATATGCGGATTGTGTGCCCGCCGTGAACTACACCAATGACAAGCTTTCTAAAAATCTAAGCATAAATAAATTCAGCAGTGATGACGAATTCCGTACATATTTTAAGGAGGATTTAATGAGCTCTCAGTGTGTATTTTGATATAGTTTTGTGCCCTACACCGAGTTTATCTGAGGTATTTTTGATTTCCAATACATGACGGAAAGCGGCGTGGCTGAAAAAATACCAAAAGGAAATTAAACTTTTTAAAAGTTGTTCGTTCAACTATGTCCATGTTACACTATCTTGCACAACTGTAATAAAAAGACAACATGCGTCATTGTAGCGCTTGCAGTGAACATGGACAAACTGAGCCATCATGAAAATTCCGTGGCTACATTGTTGAAAGATTTGTCGCAGTCAGCCTTTGCGGATTCATCGTTAGGCAACTCCTACTATTGCGTCTGAAGTTTTGAGTGTCTTCACGAAGCAAACTATGGTTTTGTTTCATGCAACGCTTAGGCACGGGCGACATAGTAAAGTTAACGAAAACAAGAAAGACGATCGTCAGTAGCAAAAAAACCATCACAGGATGTTGAAGCTTTAACACTCTCATCAACAGTGCTGTTTCTCCGCAGTGTTCCGATAATTGATTTGGCATGACCCCAAATTAACATACCCTAAATATAATATTTAATGGACCCTAAAGCGGCACATTTATCTCTTTAGAAATCCATTCATCATCAGATACTAAATTCACTGCCTGTTACATGGGAGTATTCTTAAGCATTTGCGGTTTTTAGCAACTTTAGAGATCACGAATGCATTGTTGGCAGTGCGAGGAGATTTGGGAATTTTTGTAGAGATTTCTTCCTGTAAGTGAAGTCAATCTATGCAGAAAGGCCGAAAAGCATTGTGCAGCTGTTTAATACATATTTGAAATCATCACGAACGCATAGATACTCGTACGTGTTCTCGCTGTTCTCGTCTTATAACAAGAAGAATTGTAAAAAATATGTACGCTGGAATCTTACGGACCGCTGTTGGTAAATTTGCTGAAAGCATTGGAAAAACAATTGAACACAACCGGTCTGGAAACTGCGCATTTGATGAATACATGTTCATACGTTTTGTAGAACACTGAATGGTTGGTGGCCAAATAGAGTTATTCAGTTTATTTGGGGGTTGTCAATGGTTTGGGTTGAACTTGTTGCAGGTTGTGGACAAGAAAAATGTGCACGAAGTCACCCAACACTGAGCTATTAGTTTCTACCAACAAGTTACTTACATATACACCAATTTGTTTTAATAATACCTTGCTGGTGCACGCTGGACGCACCTGAATGGTTTCGTCTGAAAAAAGCAAAAATTTCTACGATTGATTATTGTGGCCGGAAAGCCCGACACCTCAAACGATGACCCAGTAACATATCTCTATAGCGTTGACCAATTGTTTCGCCGGAGGATTTCTCAGTCAGTTGTTGACTCACCGAAATGATAGCGTTAGAAGAAGGAGACTAATCAAACGAGAGTTACGTTAGTGTGCATCCTTAAATTTTGCATCCACCAGCAGGCAAAAACAAATGTGTTTACAGAGTTTCAAGCCTCCGAGGCGTTACTAAGCTAAGCGGTCTTTACAGGCAGGCAAGTCGGTTGGCGCAGCTAAGGTATTTTACTGGGCTATTGTTTGGGATGTCGGGCGTTCCGTACGCATCACCAAGCGTGTATATGTTCTTTTAGTATGATGCACAATGTTCAGCGTTAGCCCCATAAAGCCAACGAATGCTAGCCGGATTGCTAGCTGGTATAATAAACAATTTCGTTACAAAACGTACTGTTGTCAGAGAGGAAAGAATCACCCAGATGCTGTTTGATAATTTTGTTGTGCAACATTATACCTCTTGGACCAAATCTTGAAATACGTATTCCGTTGGTTTGTCTTGCCGCCAAACAAAATGACTTATGCACTTTTCATTTAAAATCCCATGCGATCTGGTGGAAACTTTGTAGCACTATTTTCTCTTAGGAGCGTTTGATAGCACACTTATGAATAGATGTTCGAGTTGTTTACACTTATTTCTTTTACAGATATCACTTTCATTTGGTTTTGAACCCCTAATGAATAAATTGGTAGTGCGTACTTAACACCGTAGTTTGTAAAAAACAAGCAGAATTTTTACCTTTTCATTATATACATGCAAAAAGGTCTCTATTTGTCGAAATGCCCGTAGACTCAGGAAGCATTAAGTTACAAATTAAACCTTACTTTTTATGCGAAGCAGCTTTTCTCCAGCTTCACCTAAAATTATGTAATAATGATTGGTTTATTAAGTATTTGGTGAATGTAGGTTCTTAAAAAGCACATGTATTCCACCTGGGATACGAACCGAGCGGTGTGAGCTTTTAGTAAATAACGCATCGATAATAATTGGTTTATTAAGTATCTGGTGAATGTAGGTTCTTAAAAAGTACATGTATTCCACCTGGGATACGAACCGCGCGGTGTGAGCTTTTAGTAAATAACGCATCAGAAATTTGAGTGCACCCAAGTCCGTCACGTTTGTCTGATATTAAAGAGATATTTAAATGGTATCAGTTTTGGTTTGATATCCCTGTTATAATTTTTATGTATAAAACAGCTAAAATTTTATAAGCGGCGCTCTTGCACTTCGGAATATTGGAAAGTTCCGAAAATTCCCAACTGCCTAATTATTACAGTCTGCCGAAAACTACAGGTCACTGCGTTTGCAAAAAAGTGGGTGGTTTCTACAGTATGATCATAAAAAGAGTGAAAAATAACACGAGCACACTTTATGGCCAAATCACATTTTTAAATTTAACCTTAATAAATTAATTGGGTTCACATAACCGTTTTGGGATTTGAAATTTTCTTTATTGAGTTCTACAAAACCCAACAATCCATTTTGAAAAAAATGTTGAGAATATGTCCAGCTAATCTTGAAGAAGTTAGCGGGGTAAAGATGGCCAGTTTGTCGCATTCACACAAAACTTTATGCGATCCATTAGTGGTTAGAATTCAACTCATCAATATATAGTCCAAAAGTTACTCTCTTGGCTACCAAAACCAGTGAGTAATATTTGCAACAAAGTGCATCTCGTTATGGGTAGAGATAGACAATTCAATCATTTCAGCATTCACAAGTTAGACAAATTGGTTAGGAATAAATTTTACGGGCCGTCTTACTTGTCAATTCCGATAAATATCCGTCGATATCCTCTGAATGTAATTGAGGAAAATGTTTTTTAAAATACATCTCCCCCATATAATTTTTCTAAGAAGATAAAAACGATTGAACAAAACAATGATAAAATGGTGGTGCCATATTGTCTTACCGCATTACATTCTCAGATTTAAGTCAGTCTTTTTATGTTGGCCTACGTCTGCTGCCAGTACCGATATTGCGCTAGCACTTTTTCTTGAAATAAATATTAACTTTCATCGGCATCTGGTTTTAAATGGAATTTGGGTTCTTGCGCTAGCATATTTTCTTGAAACAAATATAAACTTTCATTGGCATCTGGTTTTAAATGGAATTTGGGTTTTTGTTGTTGTCAAAAGACTGAGACCATACTGGAAAAATCGTTTGATTACACAGGGAATACTATTGTAAAGTCATATCAAGGTGATTGTGTATACACGTCCTAATACTTGCTATTTACAGTGTGATCAAGAATTGTTGGAAATTCCGCAACAACCTCTAAATTATCTGGTGGTACGTTATCCGTCAGGGGTAAAAAATATCCGAAACTGGTGCAAATCTAGATGAGGACAAAATATACAACAGCATATTTGCCATTTTGCTTTGACAATAAAGGAATAATGAGATTTAAGGAGCTCATTGAAAATTTCCAAATATTATTAGAAACAGTTTTAAAGATGGCACCACTACTGACTACTGGTGATTGCAACCTGGAGTAATTTCATACCAGTGAAAATTACATTGGACCGGCAAGGGAAATTTTCGGAAGTTTTTCCATTGTGCCACTTTCAAATTAAGACCTCTAATAGTACCTCTTATAGTACGAATACGCAGCACGCTTAGTGACTATGAAACAATATCACTCAGTATTTATCAAAGCATTGGTAGAATGAAAAATAACAAAATGTAGGTACTGATGCTTTCACATTTTTCGGCAAAATTTTGTTTGGAATCCATGCTTGTTTACCAATTTCAACTTTGTTTTGTGCGTTTATTAATACAATCAGTATTGCGCATTCAGAATATTCTTGCGACAAATTTTGTACGAGCTTATTGCAAACAAACAAGGCAAGGCGATAGTACACTCGTGGTGGGAAGTGATTATTTTGTGAATGTCCTACAAAGACGTTTAAGCTCTAAAAATGTTTATTTCTGTTAGGTAAACTAAACCTCATAGTAGGCATCCGGCATTCCCAAATCCTAAGGCCCCTTAACTAGAGTAAACAACACGGTTTTCAAAGTCAGGGTCTCTTTATCTGTCAGGTTATGGGAGTGGCATTTTTAATTTGAGTTTTTAGTCATTAGCATGGTTGTGAAAATGCTCAAAGTTTACTGCTAATATGCGGAAATTACCAAAGAGGTTGCCGTCAGTCATCCAATTTCCTTCCGGGCTCAGAAAAACTGGATATGTCTCCACAAACCAGTCCGTTTTTACACCCGGAATTTATTTTCACCTTCTTGAGGCATCCTTTGCAAGCTGACAAGCCCCTAAAATGCAGTTATTATGATTTTCAGTGTTGTACCCTTCGGGAGGGCATATTTGTCGTAAAATTTAATTAATTGATAGGAAATTTGGCACAAAAAGGGACTGCCTCGTTTCCGGAAAAATGAATAACATTATAATACATACACTTACTTTTTGCTTTTTCAAATTGATTTTTAGCCACAGCTAATAAGGCCATGTTAAAGCATTTCATTTGCAAATGAAGTAAGTTCACGATTTGTATTCGTGTAGACGGTACATAGAACGTTAATTTTCTGGTATCATTCTTTTTTAAATTAAGTTTTCTGATAACAAAATTACTACCTCGAAAGTTGAACGCTGCAGGCGAACACAAAATTTTGTAATGTACTGCTCGCAAGGTAGATAGCCAACGACCGGTTTCGCCCCTTTTGGGCTCATCAGGTAGGCTCAGTCCCCGGATTTCCACGAATATACACTCATTTGCAAACTAATTTGGTTTTTCAAGAGGCTCACCTGGAACGCAGCTGAATCTCTCGTTCAGACAACTTAATGTGCTGCACCAGGCCGCTTCATGTTTCAGTCGCTACGATATTCGCGATACACGCGATACACGAGAAACCGAATTAGTTTGCAAATGAGTGTTGTTAATTACGTGACGTAATTATTTTACTTCCCTACTCCTCAGGCTAGTTCATCACCCTTCCTTAACTGCTTAATTTTTAAGACTGAACCGTTCTATTTTATACAAAGTTGACTCTACCTCAACCATTTTCTATAGACGATTTTTTTCATTCATTTCTGGGCTTGTTGTTGAAATTTCGTCCCACTTTGAACTGAACAACAATTTGCCCGCTTAATTTGTCCTACAAGACACTGCCCTTCGTGTGCCATCCTGTGTTGCTAACTGCTCAAGCTTCAATGTAGCCATAAGCCTTTTTTTAATTCTCCTAACGATTTCCAATAGTACCACGGTCTACCTATCTATACTGTCTGCCCAAGTCCAATTCAATATATAGTTCACTGTCCAATTGTGACTATTGAACAAACGCAGGTGAAGTTCGTAGAATTCGGTTTCGCCGCAATTATTACTGACCGCCCGTTGGAGAATTAGACTACACGTTACCTGTCAGATAGGACACCTAGATCGTGCGTTTAGGCTAAGTAACCACTTCCTTGCTCTGAGATCACGGCCTTAGCACAGGATCGCACAAGTGTATATTTGCTAATTTCGTTCAATTTGGCTTCAAGTGAAACATAAGGTTGACAGAAACCCAGGGACTGCGTCTATCTGACGAGCACCGAAAACGGCGAAACCGGTCGTGGGTTGTCGATGGATTTCCAGAACCCTTATGATTAGTACATTACAAAGTCATACATGCATCGCGATATCTCGAATATTGTAGCAACTGAAACATGAGGCGGTCTGGTGCAGCACATTCAGTTGCCTGAAAACATCACAAACGAGAGACTCAGATGGGTTCCAGGTGAGTCTCTCGAAAAACCAAATTGATTTGCAAATGACTGCATAGTCGCTTCAACGTTGATGCATTGCTCCTGAAAATCCCGCAATCAGCCATCCCATACTACTCCCGTGCCGATGGCTGTCAGTTTTTATTTTGACTGCCTAATTTCAGTGTGATTCGAAAGGTGTAATGACAATCTGAATTGCTCTTGATATACTTAAATCTGTACACCGCAAGAAACCCAAATCCAATGTGGTTTTGCTTTAAGCTCATCCGTAGAACGAGAGTACTGAAATTTCAGCTGCATTATATAAATGATAATAGCCTGTCGCACCAGCAATGAAGCTCATACACATGCGTAAACAGTAAAATATAAGTAGATTTTTACTTCCTGCCCTTTTGAATACGTTGAGCAATCAGAATTTTTCGTCATTTTTTGATAAACCTCCCAAAACCATGAAACTTGAAGGCCACAACTTCTGTTTGCCGGAAGTTGGACGGATAGTTGGACTGGTGGTCATGAAAGACTATATTTTTTTCAAATGATGCACGCGCTCGTAGGATCCTTGCCTTTAGTTCAATAAATTATGCTGCTCATTCACGATTGCGTCTTGCGTTTTGCTTGATGGTGTGAGAAAACATGCAAGTTGCGGACGAACAAATAATCAGTTTAACCAGAAATAGACCTAATACATTAAAAAACCCAAATCATAAATTGGAACTTCTATCGCCAACTAAAAGATCCCTAACACTAAGCTCTCCACCATATGAAAAAATCGTCAAATACCACAACATTTAGGTAAATTACTTTTTGCTTGTTCGACAAAAAGGCTCGCCGTATCTAGAAGCAAGAGAAACTTTTTCTTATTGAAGGAGACTAGAGTAATTTTCGAAGAAATATGAACAGTCCAGCAAACAAGGAAACTATTCTGGATAATTAGTCTAACTCAATGTCTGAAAAACCCAGGATATTGAAATACATCTGCTTATGAAGGTCATGCAGGAAGACCAAATTTGGAACACCAAATAAACCCCCGAAATTACAGCACGGTTACGCACAGTACACAGCGGATCAAAGAGTACTCTGCATTCTAACGCTTGAAGTACCGAACAATAAAAGATCAAGTATGGACCATTTAGGACTTCAAAAATTCTAGTGAGCTTCCGGAACAGGAAAGTGGAAACCAGAAATTCATCAGATATAGAAGACTGGTTGCTCGGTAAATGTTGGCTGAATAAGATCAGTGCTACTTTGAGGCCACAAATGTAGCGGTAGTAATGCAGACAGCAAAACGTGTTCCATTTTTCCGATTAATGTTCAAACAAATAGACTAAACGTGGGAATCTCTCTACTGATAATTGCATTCTTCCAGCTATTTCGTAGCGTGCTTGGAGATGTGACCCACAATGTCTGCTTCATCTGGTGAAAATTCTTCAAACTATTGTGGCGTGTTGCGTCGTATGTTTGGATTGTCGTCAGGCTTAGCAGAATTGTTTCGATTACACGGGGTTGTTCGTAAACCATGGGGATAGTGTTAAATCTGTATATCATTACGCTCGACGTATTACTAAATGCCCCACATAGCCACGTTGCTCAATTGGTGCTCAACGCAGTGATGGGGACGATGATGTCGATGGGCTGGCCATGGTCTAGTCACGTATGGCGAGGTTTTGTTATGCTTTGATGATATTACTTTTATAAAATCATCCAAAATTGGAAACACTAAGCGCCTACCAATTATTGATCAATATATCAAATATGTATCGCACAGTGAAGCAAGCGTACCTTGAAGATCCTTTAAAACTTGACGTATGTAATCTGTTTGTGAAGAAGTTCTGATATCAAAACTTTCTAATATGTGATTAGATAATTAACCTAAACGGTAAAACAAATAAGCAGCACGAAAAGCTGTTGCAAATATCTATCCATGATATGGCATCAGAGTATCAAACTCCGAAATTGCAGGTGTCACACATGTGATACACATAAGGGGATTACATTCAACACTAAAAATATTTTTTTCCTGCAGCCATCTGTCGGTCATTTGTCTCCAGTTTGCTAGACAGTTTGCGTTATTTTGCTTCTTTTTTCATGCAACGTATTTTGCCAACTGCTTTGTACATTAGAATGGTAATTTTGATTTTTATCAAGTTTGTGTTATGGTTCACATATGACGCAAATGCAAACATTCGCAAAACTCCGAGATAAGACTGAGGGCTTATATATTTGTCATCATCAGTGGCAACTAGGAAATAAGAGTGAAACAAGATACAACGGATGTCCACTAAAATGTGAGATACTTTCTTGTGCTGCGGAAGAATTAACACTTATTGCTTGTGAGGCTCGCAAATCAAACACATGTGCGCCAAACTCGGATATGCAAAATATCTCACGGTCCAAGTTTGTGGAGGTGTTTGCCACCCATAGCGACTGGCATGGATATACATTCGAATCACCTAAAAACAAACTGCCAAAGAACAGAACCTGTCAGAAGTTTTACCTTTAGCATACGTTTACGAGTCTAGTGCTGTCACTATGCAAATATTTTGTTAAAATCAATCATAAAAAGAAAAAGAGGGCATCTTGTAGCGCACTGCAGGCATTTGCAACTGGGACTTTCAATATAAGTTTTTAATGACTTCCATAAATATGTGAAGCAAACGTTCAAAGTACTCAAATACGTCCGCTTCTGTTGAGCACAGTAGCGCTTTATCGATTGCCCATTTAAGGCTCTAGCGGATACGAACACACCAAATGCAGTAGCAATTAATGGAAAATTAGGGATACGTGGATATTACTATAGATGTACTTCTGGCATATCACACGGGTAAATGACGCGGGGGTACATATAGATTTCTATGAACATAGTCAGTCCTTGAGACCAAGATAATATGGCTGGCTATGGAAAAATATTATTTTATATAATATCGCTTCTTGATTGCTGTTTACTTTTAGTGCACACAATTATAGTGGCAAAAACATATCTTGAGCGCAAAATGTACCCAAACCAAACAAAATGCCGTCATGTTTTCTCCATTCTACGCAAAACGTAAAAAATGACTGTCAACTTTTCCAAGACAAAAGTACTTATGATCAAAGAGGGCATTTATAATTTGCGAAGCTAAGCTGTTACATGGAACTATCGTAGGATAAGTGTCTACCTACTATCAAAATAAAGGTTTAGTTGGTTTACAGAGTCCGGCTTTTTGTATGCGACATGAACTATGGTGTCCATGTTTTTCGAATACCCGGGGCCATATCTAATACACCTATGGTCTTTCCGGGCAGACACAATGCTAAACAGGTGAATAGAAAACGCCATAACACAATATAACTAGGTCTTCGGACATTTTAACAAGATCGCGGAGTAAAATTAATATAAGTACTCGCTGCCCACAGTATCGCATTAAGTAGCGCAGCAGACTACGTCTACAGCGCTTATCTGCCTTTAGACTATTCACCGTACCAATACAAGGGACTAATCGAATAGAAACTTTACCAAAAGGTCGACACGAACCACGTTCCACCATAATCAAGTCTTCTTTGATGAAAATGGAACAATAATCCATGCTCCTTTGTTTTAGATTTATCCGCAGACATATATGTCTACCTACTAATCGGTGTACCGGTCCTGGTTTTCATCAATATGTGCCAACTATGCAGACCAATTTCCCTCGTTCCCAAACAGTTCGCTGGATTTATGACTTGAAATGTTTACAAACGAATGATGAATTCGATACATGTTCCAGTTCAGCCACACCGCACGAGCTCTCAAATCAACCCTGCATGTTGTTTATCGTTTATCGAATTATACAGCTAATATCCGTCCTAGAAAAATTAAGGTACCAATTATCAAAACATTCTGATAGCAATGAGATTTGTGAAACTGTAATACCATCATATTGCTTACACCTGGTATAGCGATAGGCAAACATTTGTGGCCAACGTTAGAGACTGTAGAATAATCCTGTGGTATTGACAAAAGATGAAGCTGATTCAACAGAAACGTTACTATCACTAACATTACCATTACTAATAATACCATTATGTCATAGAAGCTAAAAATGTGTTTTATTCAGCAATCCCCAAACCTAGTATGTATTGTGCTGACGGACGAACGTACCACTCAACAGCTGCAATTGTGTTTTTACTTCAGTTGTTGAAAGGGTTTGATAAAAAATGCAGTGATTACAATGCTTATTGTATTGGAGTTGGAGCAAATATACGCACCCGAATAAACAAAGCAGGGATCAAGTATTTTTGAACTTTTGACGGCAGCAAACTCATGGATAATTAAATAACTCGACTACAGATTTCTCTTGATTGCCGATATGTTAATTCTATACAGATTTCACCACTATGGAAACCTATACGCGTGAGTTCCGCGCAATGTTTTTGCAAATACTTTGTATTGTTCAAATCACACCGCAGCATTTTTTCAGAATGCTGAAGCACTTCTGTACGTGAAATTTTAGTTTGAAATTCGCAAAATGATATAGACATGGGTACATCATCCGGACGACGTAGAGTTGCAGGAAGAAGAATTTAACTTGCAAAACGGCTTGGCGGATGAATAACGTTTATTAGTCGGATTTAAGTTTGGCAGATTATAGATAATTAATGCAGAGTCATTCTCACCTCTACTACATTGACGTTGACTACTGGATATCGGTGGTAATAACGTTTCGTAGTTAATAGTACTGCGGGCTTCAATATGATTCCACGACTTATTGTTACTTCAAACAATTTGAATTTCGCTTCGTTATAGCGACCTAAAATCCTCCTTTAGGATGTTGCGCATTTATTGTCAAAGTTTTCTGTAGATTTTGCGTGTTTTTATAAGCCCTATTAATACGGCTGCGCATCAACCTACTGCGCAGCGGAACAATCATGTGAAACAGAGCCGTGCGATTATGCCCCCACGTCTGAATCACGTCTGAGAAAGGTCGGAGAAAGGTCAAATAGAGACACAGAAAGTTCACACCCACTCCGTGGCCAAGGCACCCCGTACACAAGCGCACAGACGGCCATCTATGATCGACCGAGAACCGGTGTGGATGTGTGGGAGACACACTGGTTGGTTGACAGCGGATCGACCATCAAACACGGTGACAAGTGAATCATATATATAGAGGTTTGTAATTGCGTTAATACACAGTTCCTTCAGGTCGTCTTCTTGTCTTCTGACTATAACCCAGTAGCGTCAGGGTAGGTGAAGAGATACAACACCCATCAAATTACACCTATTTCCCAACCCATAAATTCTAGTTTGAAATATACCTACTCACAATGTTTATTTGCTTACTGCATTGATAAGTGAGTCAAATTAATGCAACCCATTTGTGTGTTCACAACGTTAGGGTGTCATGGTAAAACAATAAATGAGACATTCTGAGTGGAGCAAAATCAGTCTCCAGTGAGCCCTTCACTTTTTCTGGTCGTGAGTAAAACAGACAGGTAATGTGCCTCTATGTTTTATGCGATTTACTCAAACATAATTTTCTGATATGTAAAAACTCACTATCTGGTTTTGGAGTCGTTTGCGACAATGCGTCTGCATTGAACACGTAAATATTAGCATCATAACTAAGGTATTAAATCACTGAAAGCAAGAAATGCAGACCTTAGCTACAAAAATGTAGTACGTGGAAATTCTATACAACATCAAGTAATATAGCTTTACCATATCTCTCCATGCCTACGCCCAACTTGAAGCTGGTTGAAAATAGCGCCGACAACAATAAATGGAGTAAAGTTGTTTGCCTGGCTGGAAAGTGTTCTGCCAAATGCTTAATTGCATATAGCTAACGTGTACCAAAGAGAACTAGCAATCATGAAGGCAGGAACCTCATTTGCAAAGAGCTTCCGAAAGTGAGCATTCTAAGAATGCTGTTGGATTGTTCAAGAGGTCATTTGAACAGTAGACGAAAACGAACAAACTAAAAATCGGTGTAATAATTTCATTGTTAAGCCTGCACCAGGTACCCAAAACGACATTTTATCACTTGACAAGACACTACTCGTATGGCGCGCCACTGGTTAACATCGTTTCAAATGCAGGAATGCATTTACGACAAATCCACCCCAATATTTTGAATAACGGGCATCATGAGAAAGTTATTGAATTTACAATGAATATGCGAAACCCTTGAAACGTTTTCTTACCAAAATAGCCACTGTTCAACACATGTATGACAATGATGAGTTGAAGGCCTGTCTTCATCACGATTGTTCTCCTGGAGAAGCGAACCGTTTTTGTCGAGCATTTATATCCTTTGGCTGTCTTCTGGATTATACCCGGTTAATTGAACATACAGTATCCCTGTTTTGTCTCAAACCGTTGTCGCGCCAATTCCTTTCAGCTTACGGTTCGGCGTGGGTGACAGTCTAACAGCCAATCAAATTTCTGTCACCATGCGGACCCATACTGCACACAGTTTGTGTACACAGTCTGTCTGTACACAGTCTGTGTAGTTTTAATAGCCACTAATAATTCAAAGTAAATACACGATTCTGCTAGCAAACGTACCAGTTGCTTCGGTGTGATCTAGCTAATGGAAAAGAACATTCGATGACATCCAATGGAGACTGGGGTAGATAATGCCTATAAGCAGATAATTTTATCGTGTTGCGTGTTTTTCACGATTGCAACTCTTTGTGTAATCGATTAGTTGATATGTTAGTCATTACGCAACTTCAGTACACCACAGGTAGCTCATTGTATGGCAAGACATTCTTGCAAGAATAGCGTGCACAGGAAGAAAAACGAGGCACCAATGCAGCCAAATCCTTTTGAATTAAGGTGTTATTTTTAGAGCAGACCAATATCCATAGCCCCCGTTCGATGAAGGACACCTAGTATCTTTTTACAGTTGCTTTATCATGGACTAGGTGTAAATTCATTCAGATTCAACTTAGAAAACGGAGCTAAATTACGTTCAAGTTCTCCGAAGCTTAGAAGCAAAAGCTGGTAAGTAGCCAAAGAATCTGCGCAAAAAAGACCGGTGAGCACAAATGAAAAACCATGTCCAAGCAGTTTTGAAATACACAAATAATCTAATGAAGTTACATAGAACCAGCAGATATAAATAAATCAATGACTATTCCTTTTTTCACAATCGTACAACAAGACAAGAGAAACAAGTTAAAACCGAGAACATGACGTGCTCCAATACTCCAGACAGCTGAATTTTTCACGTCTAATGAAACTGTTCGGGTTCGCCCAATGTTGCATAAAATTAGAAGAAAGCACTGAAACGTATTAATTTTGATCTTAAAACCATTTCTTTTGTGCAAGATATATGATGTGATGCATCGTTTTCTCTTCAATTCATAGACTGGTGCAAAAACGATGCGATTTTCTATGACAGTTGGCAAATACTCGGCCACAAATTAATATTGCCCATACAATCACCGGTGACTTCGAACACAGCCTCACAACAGGCTATAGCGTCCAGAGATATAACATCGATACAAATGTGGATCTCTTCAAATGTAGTGTCTATAGCATAATAAGCGCGATATTTTTAGCCTGATGTTTCATGACTCTTTGACTTTTGGGCCACGGTGCACATCTGGTATTCAGTTTCTTTGGTTGTACAAAAAACCTAACAAATTGGCTCAGCGTCTCAGGATGCGAGTACCGATTGCCTGAATTTTGCAGGATAATTGGGGAATAATTGAGCGAATAGGGTAAATAAATACAACTCACATTTTCATTGTACCATAGATATGCATCCTTTGACGTTTGAAACATTTTTCAGCCAATATGCACCTTCCGACATGTGTACATTAGTATTTTTCAATTATTATATGTATAATGCCGAGTCGTCATATGTAAAGGAATTAACGGGGAAAGTAGATATAGAGAACTATTCACTGTGGTTCAGGATGGTTTCTCCTGACTTGTTTTATTAAAAGCATATCCCTAAGACTTCTTCACACAGATTTGCTTATAGTGACTTCTATCTGTTTCCGATCATGATCATATGCATCATCTGAGCTCTACAACAAGTTGACAGGTATTGACTCGCTAAAGTTTAATCATGAAGCGCATGCCGACAATACAGTCACTCTTAGCCTTTCGAAACTATAGAACAACGCAAAGAAGTACGTATGAAGTGAGCCACGTGGTACAAACAACGTGTTGAAGCGAATGTACCAGGTGTGGAGTCCTCTCATAGGCAAGAAGCAGGGAAATTACAGGGGATGGGATTACTTTTTGTGCATGATATCTGCATTTGAACTTACTTTCTTCATCAGGCAGACAAATCGCAAAATTATTTTGCAATAAACTATACGCTTCTGGTGTGTATGTTGACTAGGCTGTGACAAATGGTTTTACTACACGTATGCTTATAAAACAGAAAGTGTTTTCACGCTTGTGTAGTCCATTTTAGCATCAACGAGGATAACGAGAACAATGAATATAAAAAGACAATGAATGCACTTGTAGCGTAAAAATATTAGGCTTAGCCTGTGGAATCCGTGGCCTGAATTAACCCTCGCAGTACTAAACAAATGATTAGTGCTCTCTTTACAGCATAACAGAGGTTAAATTACCGCAGCCTGTAAGTTTGTGAATTACTAAGGTGGAGTCGCAATAAAAGTGCCATAGATCATTGCGTTAGGGTGGTTATGGCATGTGGGAAGTGGGCTCGATCACTGTTTAACTACGCATGCCCTGCTGTTTATCCCAAGACCTTATCAGCAGACAGTTAAATTGCACACACACAATGACGTGGAAGGACCAAGTAGAAGTGGCTATTATCCAATTGGGCGAATCAATCACGTCGCATAACGTTGGACGAGGACACGTGCTACGACGTTAGCGTGCAACTGAATTTACTGTTCAATAGTGGGCGATCTTTACAGGCCCACCCTGCATTCCGGATGTCCAGCACCCAGCAAGAGCCAGGATTTCTTGCTTGTCCCATTAAAACAATCTCTGGACACTTTTGTCGCTAATTCCCTGACTGGTTTCCTTTGCATATAGAGTACCGTGTTCCTTTGTGAAATTCTCAGTCCATGGTCTCGCAACAAGTTGTGCTTTAGCGTGCCTCCAGTAATTACTAAATGCCAAAAATTTGCCAAGTGAACAACCTATACCAGGCTACTAAGACAAGTGACAAGAATGAAATTAGGACCTAAACATCTGCTAATTACCTGTTAGCTTTTCTCGACAGCATGCAACATTTCGCCTAAGTACCAGCGTCTACTTTTGGATTACCACACCGAGGTACTAAGATGTCGGTGGACGGCAAGAAAATAGAGTGATTGCGTATTTAGCAAGTACTAGCCTTGTGGTGCCAAACTAAAAGTTCACAGTTCTTTCGTAAAAATCTGGAGGGCTTATAGTTTTAATTGGTTCACAATAACCACGTCATATACAAGACTTGAAGCAGTTTTCAATGCCCAGTAATGTTCTGCTTACAATTATTTTGCTTGCAGCAAAGTGCCAACAAATCAAGGGATAAATAATGACATAATGATATGAATGAATGAACCAAGCAGTTATTTGTTTGCGCTTTCTTGGTAAGCATAACGCACCAACCATGCTACCTCCACAAACCAATCAATAAAGCAGTAACGATTAGATAAGCCGCTCGTTTCTTTTTCACTGTGTCGCCACAGAAGACGTGTTTCTCAGCAACACCACACTAGTTGTTCGTTGATGTCGTTCCCTTCGTTCATTGCTGTAACCAGTATATCCAAGTGGGTTTTAGCGAAACTACAAGCTTCTATCACTTTCTACTTGTTACGGATGACCAAGAGAAGAGCAACAGATTGAAATCAGTCCTTGCATGACCCACGGTTCACTAAACTCCAAGGAGGTTTGGGCTAAGTACTTGCGGTCAATATAATACAACAGCCATCACTTACAGTAATTCAGAGATTTCTCTAAGTCGCTCAAACCAATTTAATCAGAAGGGCCATGATGCACCGTTAAAAGACTATAGGAGAAGGCTTTTCAATCGAAATAAGCTAGAAGCAGCAAGGCAGAAGTATTATCCATATAAACGTATATGTCTCACACTGTTAAGCACACCTGCCATCATCAATCATCAAAGACAGCAACATCAGTGTTGGCACTGATGCTCCAACGTCGTACAACCATAAGGGTTGTCCAGTTTATATATATAATCGTATTCAAAGCCCTACAGTGAAGAGAAGAGAAAAAAGTGAGGGGGAGAGGGGAATTTGTGCTGGCATTTGTCAAGCATACTGAGGTGCCTACACCTCCAACCGCTCAATCAGGCAATGTGAAAAGAATCTGAGAGCACGAACGCTACTGACATCGATTAGTCGCCATTTCTAGCAACGTTTCCAGCCAAGCACAGACGGGGTCACGGGGACCCCATCCTGGAAGTCGCACAACACCAACAACACCCAAAATCTTCGTGGTCTCTTTCACGCCTTTTTGCCAAGTCCTGTGCTGTTCACCTTGCGGCTTGCGCCATCCTGAAGGAGGCGCGGAGAATAACACTTGTTTCTGTAGACGGTGTTTCGGCATGCGTAGCACATGACCGAGCCATCGCAGTCGATGGTGCCGGATGTTTTCTCGGATTGAGGTGCCTGCAGCACAACCAAATACCCGTTTTCTAATCGCCTCGTTACTGACACGCTGACGCCATCCACAACCAGCCACGCTTCTGAGGCATCGGTGGTCGAAAACCTGAAGACGCCTCATATCATCTACCCGAAGAGGCCAT